CCTCTAGGTGATAGTTCTTGATTACTTTTTGATAAATAATTCGTTCTTATTGCGAAATAGGAGCACTATTTATCAATCTGTAATAAAAGACCTGAAATTCTGTCTTTTTTAAAGACAAAAATTTTTGAGGCGAAATACCCAAAAAGAAGTTTGTAAAAAATGAATCCGCCTCAACAACATAGAACTTATCTACAATTTTTTTTTAATTTCCAGATGAACGACGCAGTTGGCAGCTACTACAACTGGATGTACTTTGTGCCTCTTATAGTTCTCGGATCATTTTTTATGTTAAACTTAGTCCTCGGTGTCCTCAGCGGGTAAGTCTGCTTAATGTGCCCGATTCTGACTGAGCTTTTCGGTTTTCTCTATGCAATTTCGACAATGTTTAGCGAGTTTTCAAACGAAAGATTGCGCGTGGAGAGGCGAGCCATTTTTTATAAAACGCGCTCGAAAAAGCAGTTTGTTGAAAGCTTTGGCCGATATTTGGCCTGGATTACTCAAGCAGGTGTTGTACTTGGACAAGTTCTAACTGGTAGATCTGCTAGAAGTATTTTGCCTCCCATGGCCTTAATTTATAACTCCCTCCTAAGCAGCGAAGTTAGTAGGTAGTCTAAACATTGTGGTGATTTTTCCAACATAAACTTTCACTTGCTTTATTAACAGCTCATAATCGTATTGCTAAGCGCTTGCTCTCTGTATACAGCGAATTTGCCAAGGAGCGAGAAAAAGTAGAAAATAGGCAAGAGTTTTTAAAGCTAAGGCGAGCAGCCCAATTAGAGAGGGAGCTAAATGGGTATGTGCAATGGATTTGCAAGGCTGGTAAGGACTCTAAAGCCCCATTGCGTTAAACGTGAGGGAATTGATGCCTCTTTGCACCCCACAGAGGAAGTGATACTTGCTGAGGAGCGAACCACCGAAGAGGAGAAGATGCACATAATGGAGGCGAGACGGAGGGCGGCAAAGAAGAAAAAGCTGAAGAAGATCGGAAAAAGCAAAAGCACCGACACTGAGGAGGAACAAGAGGAGGAAGATGTTGCCGATGATGGTAAGAGCAGTTTTTTATAACCCTTTGATCCTCAATTACATTGGTAAAAGCATTCATTGAGATTAAAATGTTACGTCCTGTTCCTACTTTACCATTTCTTACTACTTAGGATATGTACATTTTACCTTTGTATGTAAAGCCCAAAAATTAGTATCTAATGCATGGTTGATAAACCAAGATTCCAATTTAGATTTACTTTTTATTATGCAGAACCTTCCATCGATCTTGCATGTTTTCCCAAAAAAAACTTCAAAAACTATTGGAGTGTTTCCAGAATCAAGTTCGTCTCGGCTTGCAAGATCAATGCGAACGTTCTGCATTTAAGTACCTTTCATTTACTGATACACATTTTTAATTCCCAGTGTTTCTTACAGAATCTAACAAAAAGCTAAAAGGTACGCAGCTGGAAAAAATGTAAAATTGACAATTAGACTACACTAAATAATGAATGCATTTTCATTCAGAGTAGATGCTTATGAAACCGACATTCTCTATCGTTTCGAAAACCAGTCCCTTTATCAACAGCATTGTTTTTAAAGAATTGTGTTGTTCCGAGTTTTTCCGTAATGGATTCCGAGCGGAAGCCACCACGAAAAACTCCTAGGCTTTTGGCTGGTACCCATTACTTTCTTGCGTAGACCTAAACCTTCTTTAGGGTGTCTCTATAGAATAGAATAGATCTTTTTGTGATTCTAGATGCCACATAGCAACATTAGCATTAGCCTAGACGAATTGGTACTTTTTAGGCACTTTAGTAGTTGATCAGTAGCTTAATTTTACGTACTTGACTGGTGTCAGTTAAGACTCTTCTCCCACTCACTCTTGTCTGAAGAATCAAAAGAAATTGCTGGTATTTTTTAAACAAAAGTGGCGCGTTTTCGGCAAAAATCTTTCTTATACCCAAACTGACCGGGAAGAATGCCATCCAATGTTGAAGTGTAAGTTCTATTAGCAGGCTTTGGCCGATCCGGCTACATGAAATCCAGAGCGAAAGGACATGGAGCCTGTGCGCGCTTCTGGAGAGCTGAGAAGAGATTTCGATTCAGTATACGACACATGGTGAAAACGCAATGGTTTTACTGGACGGTCATCATGCTGGTATTCTTCAATACGTTTTGCGTGGCAGTCGAATACCATGGCCAGCCGAAGTGGCTTGACGATTTTTTATGTGAGTATACTTTGAAAAATTCTAGAAAATCGACGAATGCTTTAAACCAACTAGCTTTTTGCACTCAAGCTGGCCAAGACCTTGTCTATACTCCTGCAAACTTTCGAATTGATAACTCTATGAGGTTAGAAGCTACGATGATTTTCAATGCGAGTTGTGCTTTTGAGATACTTTTCATAAAGGCCAGGGGGCTTCAAAATTCTAGAAAATCATTGAAAGCTCAGATTTAATTGAGCTTTTGAATGTTAAACTAGCGAAGCTTTCGCTATAACCCGGCCAAGATTTCCAGTTCACAACTGAACTGGCTTGGAACTCAACAACATTTTTTTATAGTCCGGTTTGCGTCATTGAGACGCTTTTCTTGATAGATCAGGCCAGGAAATTATAAAAATTGCAGAATCTCAACGGGTATTCTGATTTAAACCAAATTTTTAACATAAAAGCACTGCAGCTTTGGCAATAACTGTCCAGAATATGAACTTTATAGCTGAACAGTCATTGAAGTTACGAATTTTCTTATTTCGGGTTGCGCTCCAGGGACACTTTTTTTGAAATACCTGGAAGTTCAAAAATTTGCAGGAACTCAATAGCAGTTCTAAATTTAAAGTAAATTTTTTAGTCAAAAGCGTTGATGCTTTCACTGTAATTGCTTAAAATTACCATTTTGCAACTGAACGATTTTTCGAAGTGGCAAATGTTTATATTATCACTTGCGCTTTTGAGACACTTTTCGTGATAAGTCAGGAGATTTGAAAATTTCCAGGAAATTAATGGGGGCTCGGATTTAATTCAGCTTTTGGAAATCAAGGCAGTAAAGCTTTCACTATGATTTGCCAAAACTCTAACTATACAGCTGAACCGGTTGAGAAGTTAGGATGTTTTATATCCCGGCTTGTGCTATTGAGACGCTTTTCTTAATAAACCAGGAAATTATACAGTTTAGAAGAAGTCAATGAATGGTTCTATTTAAATAAAATTTTGTAGATAAAAGCCTACATGTTTTGTCAATAACTGCTCAAAATATGAATTTCGTAGCTTCAGAGTTCTAACGTTACGAATTTTTAAAATCTAGTTTGCGCCATAAAGGCGCTTTTCTTGACCGAACTGCAAGTTCAAAATTTTACAAAAAATCAACCGATGCTTCGATTCAATTGAGCTTTTGTAATCAAAAGTGCTGCATATTTTGCTATAATTTATCAAAATTTAGACTCCTTCGCTCATCGGGTGTGGAAGTTATGGATTTTTATAACACGACTTGCGTTATTGAGACGCTTTTCATGACAGGCCAGGAAGGTTGAACATTTCCAGGAAATCAATGAGGGCTCGGAGTTAATTGAGCTTTCGGGCATTAAAGCCCCAAAGCTTTGGCTATAATTTCCCAAAATTCCCACTTCATAACTGAACCTGTTTGGAAGTTGCAATTTTTTATAATCCGGCATGCGTTGTCGCGACACTTTTTTATAGACCGGGAAGTTCAAACCTCTGCAGAAAATCAACGGGATTTCCGATTTAGACGCAATTTTGTCGACTAAGGCCCTGTTGCCTTCGCAATAATCTCGCAGAATCTCAGTTTCCTTTCTTAGCGGTTCTTGAAGTTTCGAATTTTAATATTCTGGTTCGCCCTCTAGGAAGGCTTTTTTTGATAGATCAGAAAGTTCAAAACTTTGCACAAACTGAATGGGTGATCGACTTTAATTGAGCTTCGGTAGACGACAACCCTAAAGTGCTTTCCATCACTGTCCAAAATTCCCACCTCAGAAATGGACGGGTTTAGAAGATACAAATTTTTCAAATTACGACTTTCTTGATAGACCAGAAGGGCATTTTGCACACAAATCCTCTAAATCATCATCAACTTCAATTTTTTTGCAAACTTCAACAGTTTGCAAAAAATCAACGGGTTCTCTGATTTGTTCTTAACTCCGACTAATATATTTGAATGAAAACTGATTTTGCCATTCAGGAACGTGGCTGGCATCGGTAGTCTCACTCGCACCCATAGCAGTGCATGGAAGACGTCAGATTACCGGCGCGCTGCTACGTTCACACTTGATACCCTTAGCGTTCAACATCAGCTTTTTGCAAACGAATCCTCTAAATCTTCCTCTCAAATTTCCCAAATTTTCCAACGCAAATCTATAGGCGTTTGCCAGTTACACACTGTTATACTCGCTTCAATCTCTCCCGATTCAATCTTCTGATGCCCTTTCTGAGCCGCGCAATGTTTCAGACTATGCCGAGTACGTTTTCCTAGGACTGTTCATGTCTGAAATGTTCGTGAAAATGTACGCACTTGGACCAAGAATCTACTTCGAGTCAGCTTTCAACCGATTCGATTGCGTGGTGATCTCAGGGTCGATTTTCGAAGTGATCTGGAGTGCCGTCAAGGGCGGTTCTTTCGGTCTGTCGGTCCTCAGGGCTCTGAGATTGCTCAGAATATTCAAGGTGAGCGACTCTTGTTGGATTTTCCGATCTGACCGCCCTAATTGCAGGTGACCAAATACTGGTCGTCGCTGCGCAATCTAGTGATATCGCTGCTAAACTCGATGCGATCCATCATTTCCCTGTTGTTCCTGCTCTTCTTGTTCATCCTGATCTTCGCCCTATTGGGAATGCAACTGTTTGGAGGACAATTCAACTTCGATGGTGGCACTCCGCCCGCCAACTTTAACACTTTTCCCATTGCGCTATTGACAGTTTTCCAGGTAAGTGCGGTCGCTTTGGGCTCGAAAACACCTTGCCGAGATGTGATGATTTGCAGATCCTCACTGGTGAGGATTGGAACGAGGTGATGTACAATGGGATCAATGCTTTGGGCGGGCCGAACAGTGGCGGCATGGTGTATTCGCTCTATTTCATCATTCTCATGTTGTTCGGAAACTACACCTTGCTGAACGTGTTCTTGGCCATCGCCGTTGACAACTTGGCAAATGCTCAAGAACTCACCGCTGCTGAAGAGGAACAAGCTGAAGAAAACAAGGTGAGTGCGGCAGTTGGTCAAAGACCCTTGAGGATGTGGTTGGGTGGTTGCAGGAGAAACAGGCTCTAGAGCTGGAGAAGGAAATGGAGGCCCTCCAGATGGAAGGAAGCAATCCTCGAGTGGAGGTGTGCCCCCCTAGTCCAATCACGACCAGACGGAAAAAGAAGGAGGAAAAGCCGGTGGATGATGACGAGGAAATCGTCGGGCCAAAACCTATGCTGCCATATTCTAGCATGTTTATTTTGTCGTCCACCAATCCGTAAGTGTTCAGTTTGAGCAATGAGTTCACTGATCCGATTTCGCTTCTTCATCTGCAGCATTCGGCGTGGCGCTCACTGGGTGGTAAACCTGCGCTATTTCGACTTTTTCATCATGGTGGTGATTTGCATGAGTTCGGCAGCCCTGGCAGCTGAAGATCCAGTGGATGAAAAGTCGTTCCGCAACAACGTGCTCGATAAGTTCGACTACGCTTTTACGGGGGTGTTTGCGGTTGAAATGTTCCTCAAAGTGATCGATTTGGGAGTGATTCTGCACCCCGGCTCCTATTTGAGGGAGTTTTGGAACGTCATGGATGCAGTCGTGGTGGTTTGTGCCTTGGTATCCATGGGCTTCGACTTCATGTGAGTATCTTTCAGGGAAGCGTGGGCTTTACTTGAATTTCTGCTGCTTTCAGGGGTGGAGGTGGAGCGGCAGGTGCCAACCTTTCAACAATAAAGTCCCTCAGAGTGCTACGCGTATTGCGGCCGTTAAAGACCATTAAAAGAGTGCCGAAGTTGAAAGCGGTCTTCGATTGTTTGGTGAACTCTTTGAAAAACGTCATCAACATTCTCATCGTTTACATATTGTTCCAATTCATCTTTGCCGTTATCGCTGTTCAGCTGTTCAATGGCAAGTTCTTCTTCTGCACGGATGGCAGCAAAATCACCGAAGCCACTTGCCAGTAAGCGCTCAACTTTCTACAGATTTACTTGGGCCTTTGCTGATTAACTCTGGTCGTTTTTTAGGGGGCAATATTTCGTTTACGAGGAGAACAGCGACGTCCCAAAGGTGGAGGATCGCAAGTGGCAGCAGCAAAAGTTCCACTACGACGATGTTGCGATGGCGATGCTCACCTTGTTTGCTGTGCAGACTGGAGAAGGATGGCCTACGTAAGTAGGATTTTAACATCACTTCATTGCTTTGCAATTTTTGGCGACTTCTCCTGCAGAGTGTTACAAAACTCAATGGCAGCCACCTACAGCGACCAAGGACCGATCCAGAACTTTAGAATCGAAATGTCCATATTCTACATCGTCTACTTCGTCGTGTTTCCGTTCTTCTTCGTCAACATCTTCGTGGCCTTGATCATCATCACGTTTCAAGAGCAGGGCGAGGCCGAGCTGCAAAGTGGAGAAATCGACAAAAACCAGGTAGAGTTCCTTTGCAGTTTGCAAACTTGTTCACTCGACTTAACGTGACCTCTTTTTCCGGTTTATGTAGAAGTCCTGTATAGATTTTTGCATCCAAGCCAGACCACTGGAGAGATACATGCCGAGCAAACGGAGCAGTCTCAAGTACAAAATTTGGAGATTAGTCGTTTCGTCGCCGTTTGAGTATTTTATAATGACGCTCATTGTTTTGAACACTTTGCTATTGATGATGAAGGTAAGTGTCTTTCCATGTTGAGTTTCAAAACTTGATCTAAACAGCCAAACACTCAAAAGTCGGCAGCTTGTTGATATAGATGGAACGTACAGGGTGGGCCAAACTGGCGTGTAATTTTTGGATGATTTTCTACGCGATGTTGGCATCAACAGTTGCCATCCACTATGGCCAAAATTATGGGTTTTTTAATGGAACACCCCATATATTTATGCTGCCCTGAAGGTCTTTCAACAACCTTTCAGAAAATGCTGTTTTCAATCACACATTTTCTAGTCAAAGTTGTTATAGACAATTTTAAAAAACAAGAAGCAGTTGGGGTGTATACAGTGGATGAAAATTTATGTAATGAAGTGTGTATGTATTAGGTAAATAAGGCCAAGTACTTTCGACAATTACGTCATCATCAGGGCCGTCGTCAAAACAGAAGCAAACATCCCCAAGAGCACCAACAAAACATTTTTGTTTGAGCAAAAAATGTTTTGTTGGGTGCTCTTGGGGATGTTTGCTTCTGTTTTGACGATGGCCCTGATGATGACGTAATTGTCGAAAGTACTTGGCCTTATTTACCTAATACATACACACTTCATTACCAAAAACTTGGCTCAATGATTAATATCAAAAAGACGCTAAAGTCGGAGGTTTTTTTCTACTTTTAAGTAAACTTAATTGAGATTGTGTCACATTGTAGCTGGCTTCAATACTTGAGAAAAAGTGGTAACAAATGTACTCTTTTGCTGTCAATATCGCATAAAAAATAACTTCAACTTTACACTCCAGTTTGCCGAAATCTTCCACCCCGTCTTGACGGTGCAACCACCCTCTATACGCAGCTTTATGGGTTGTGAGCTGCGTATAACATTTGCATTATTCATATTCTAATGATAGTTAGACACACTAAAACGCTGCTAAAACGCTGCTACGAATGCCTCTGTACTATGCACCAACTACAGCACCACAATAAATAAAACTTTCTTTGTTTGTTCTTCAACACTAAGAATATCCTGGACGGGTCATCGAGCTACAGTTTTGCAGGCAGAAACCTGATTTAGAATGCAACAAAGAAGCACACACATTTACACTGCCTTTGCAGCCTTTTAGATTAGTTCAGCAGCATCAACTATTGCAGCTATTCGTTCCTTAGGATGTCTGCGGTTTTGTGCGATTTTTCATCTGTCTACCTTTTTCCCTCTTCATCAAACACTGAATTTTCCTACTCAAACACTAAATGCATGCCAATGTTGTGCCATTCAAACTCGATGGGATTCTGTTCCAAAAATACACGTTTATACTTGGAGTTGTTTTGCTGTAGATCTTCTACGATTTTTTCTAAGGGGTCCAGATCAGGTTCTAAATTTATTAGCTTTTCACTGCGAAGCGCTTGACATGATTGCATCGAAATGCGTGCATCGAAAAGGGGCATTTCTCCTTATATTAAAAAACTGTCGCTAAAGCACAAAAACCTACAAACAGCCAGGAAATTGACTGATTCGGCCCACTTGTGATCTGCATGGACTTCCTTTCGGAGTGATTCTCATTTTGAGCGCATGATATTGAATCAAGATTCCCAACAGCATGGTCGCATTACAACAATCTAAAGCGATAAAATTTTGAAACTAAACCTCCTTGGCGGACTTGGCTATATACCAAAAACTATACCTAGATTAGCAAGTAAATCTAGTTGAGTATTGACTATAGATAATAGAGTCTAATCCATATGTTGCCATCCAACAGTTTAACAATCAGAGTGACACATACACCTATAGCCTAAAATATTTGAACTGGGGATTCACAGGAATGTTCACGGTAGAATGCTTTTTGAAGATACTTGCGTTTGGAGTGAGGGTAAGACTTAGAGCCTCCTTTCGATCAATCGTAGTGGATTTCGATCTTAGCTCTAATGCGAGATGTTGATCGCTTGAAAATTTGCCAACACCTCGCAAAGAGTCGAAATTTGTATGTATTGAAAGCCTAACCTGTACCGACAAGAACGAACAAAGATCAAACTTTCCAAACAACATGTTTATCCCGTCCGTAGATGGTAGTTTATGGTTTTGAGCGTTTGAATGATTTTTAGCTAGAAAGCGGCGTTGGTGTGGTAGATTTTCTTCTAAGGCTTAGTAGGTTTGATGGCATGTGCAATATGTGGTACACTTTCACACCAACACCAGCAGGAATAGGTATTTATTATGTGGCTAGGAATTCCGAACAAATTCACCATGATGCAGGAAATTGCTTGCAAATCTGTGCCCTCTTCATGAGCGAGTTTCTCGAGCAAACAATTTCTTGGATTCATTTGCAATAAAGCGATTGTTCGGAAAATGAAACCGAAGAGTTGCCGACTTTTATTCTATGTGTCCCTGTCTCGAAGGTAGGCAGGCTCCTAAGCTTGATCTCCGTAGATAGAGTTAGCGCTACATTTTCAAGTTTTTTATTGTAGTACCATCAATCCCCATCGCTTCTCTCGGAAGCACTGGCCTTAATGAACATAGTTTTTACGTTCTTTTTTCTGTGCGAGACCATCTTGAAGCTAATCGCATTCGGATTGAAGGTAAATTTACACACAGAGGTTAACAGGTAACATTTATAGTTAGGATATTGTTCAGTTCATGCAGCTTTTTGTTTGTTCCCATGCAGACTTTCCTTGCGCTTTCGATACTTAAAAGGTTTCTACACACATTAATATTTACAAGATAAGAGCCGGACGTCCAACCATTGTATGTGACCTCAATGTACAAAATTGCAAATGTTTAGTCGCCCCATATCAGATTAATAGAACCGTTTTAAGTAGGCTTCCCTTAGATAGAGCATCAGCATATCGTTTGCTTATCCAAAAGCCCATCACTCTTATAGCAACGATTCCAGCGCTTGTTTGATCAATCTGTCCAGACGTTTTGCTAGCACGGACGGATAACATCTTCAGAATTTTTAGAGTTCGGCTTGCGCTGTTGACACGTTGTTCTTGCTGGATTAGAAAGTTCAGAACTTTGCAAAAATCAAGCGGGTTGCAGATCTGAATTGAATGTTGTACATATAGGCGCTGAGGTTTGGGCTATAATTTTCGAAAAAAAAAATGTTTAAAATCAATGCATGTACTAATCTAATAGTCCTTTCGTACAAAAAAGCATTGAAGCTTTTGAAATGATCTCCGAAAGTGGGCAACTTTACGCGTATGGAAGTGACAATATTTTTGTACGACTTGCGCTGGTGGGACGCTTTTCTTGATGAAGCAAAAAATTCAAGTGCTTGCAGAAAATCAACGAGTTTTCTGATTTAAATCGATTTTTTTACGCAAAGGCGCTAAAGCTTCTGCTGGAATTTGCAAGAATCCAGATTTCATAACCTTTCGCGTGTGAATGTTACAATTTTTTTTAATCCGACTGGCGCCTTTTGCRCGTTTTCCTTGATGAATCAGAAAGTTCAAAACCTGGCAGAAAATTAACCAGTTCTCTGATTTKAACGAAATTTTATACACGATGGCGGTAAAGGYTYYACTATMSTWATKCGGAWGTTAAAKTTWMKAAYSTWWTKCSKGYTWRSRCTATTGAGACACTTTTTTGRCTGAATTGGAAAGTTSAAAACCTTGTTCAAAGTCAACGGATTTTCCATTGTGAATGAAATTCTGAAGACAAAAGGGCTAAAGTTTSCGCTTTATTTACCCAGAATTAAGCTTCATGAATGACCCTTCGRTTGTAGAAGTTACGAATTTTTTTATCAGGCTTGCGCRCTRTTGGAACGCYTTTCTTCAGATAYGAGAATCTTTAAATCCTTGCAGAAAATCAAGRGGTTYTCTCATTTAAATTAGTTTTTTTACACAAAAGTGCTAAAGTTCCCCCTATCGTTCTCAGAAATTTAAACTTCATAGCTTTTCATGTGTGGAAAATGCGAATTTTTTATCCGACTTGTGCCATTGGGACGCTTTTCTCGATGGATCAGAAAGTTARAATCCTTKCAGAAAATTAAGCGGTTCTCTGATTTAAATRATTTTTTTACACAACAGTTATAAACTGTCCACTATAATTTTATAATAATTCTATAATAACTAWATTGGGGTGCGTTTCTTGATTAATCAGAAACTTCAAAAGCTTGCGTAAAATCAAGCGGTTTCTTGATTTAAATAATTTYTTTTACACAAAAGAGCTGAAGCTTCCGCTAATATTTTCCAGAATTTAAACTTTATGGCCTTTTGCGTGTGGAAATTCCAAGTTTTTTTTATCCGACTTGCGCTTGTAGGACGCTTTTCTTGATAGATCAGACCAGGAAATTATAAAAATTGCAGGATCTCAACGGGTGCTCAGATTTAAACCAAATTTTGCACATAAAAGCACTGAAGCTTTGGCAATTACTGCTCAGAATATGAACTTTTTAGCTTAACAGACATTGAAGTTGTGAATTTTCAGAGTTCGGGTTGCGCTCCAGGGACACTTTTTTGAAATACCTGGAAGTTCAAAAATTTGCAGGAACTCAATAGCTGTTCTGATTATGATAAATTAGATGTTCTAGTCAAAAGCGTTGATGCATTCACTGTAATTTCTCAAATATGCCATGTTGCAACTGAACAATTTTTGGAAGTGGCAAATGTTTATATTACCACTTGCGCTTTTGAGACACTTTTCGTGATAGGTCAAGAGATTTGAAAATTTCCAGGAAATTAATGGCGGCTCGGATTTAATTGATCCTTTGGACATCAAAGCACTAAAGCTTTCGCTATGATTTGTCAAAACTCTAACTCTACAGCTGAACCAGTTGGGAAGGTACGATGTTTTATATCCCGGTTTGTGCTATTGAGACGCTTTTCTTAATAGACCAGGAAATTATACAGTTTGGAAGAAGCCAATGGATGGTTCTATTTAAATAAAATTTTGCAGCTAAAAACCTATACGTTTTGGCAATAACTGCTCAAAATATGAGTTTCGTAGCTTCACAGCTCTTACGTTACGAATTTTTATAATCTAGTTTGCGCCATAAAGGCGCCTTTCTTGAGCGAACTGCAAGTTCAAAATTTTACAAAAAATCAACCAGTGCTTCGATTCAATTGAGCTTTTGTAATCAAAAGTGCTGCATATTTTGCTATAATTGATCAAAATTTAGACTCCTTCGCTCATCGGGTGTGGAAGTTACGAATTTTTACAACACGACTTGCGTTATTGAGACGCTTTTCATGACAGGCCAGGAAGGTTGAACATTTCCAGGAAATCAATGAGGGCTCGGAGTTAATTGAGCTTT